AGAGAGAGAGAGAGAGAGAGAGAGAGAGAGAGAGAGAGAGAGAGAGAGAGAGAGAGAGAGAGAGAGAAGAAAGAGAGGCGGGGCAGAGTTAGGGCATAAGAACAGTGCAGTTGGCATGCAGCATAAGAACAGTGCAGCTGGCATGCAGCAAGAGGGCACTCTGAGCGGTCGCTGATTCAGATTTCTTTGCACAGAGCATCTTCTGCGGTTTTTGGTGGTGGTGACATGAAGGTAATCAGGGTTGTAAGCGGGTAATAGAGAAAGAGCTCCACGAGATCGTCCTACTTGCGCCTCAGGCTACTGGTCCCATCCAAGGATCGACTCCATGGTTACCACCAAAACGCTGGTCTGAAGCCCACTGGGTAGGCGTGAGAGCAAGATGGCATGTTGAGAACGGGCTATCTGTGGTTCAGTAAACAGGCTACGTGTCCACTGAGGACGATGACGACAACCTTGTTGGAGGAGAATGTGAAGATGGCGATGGAGGTGGCGAGAAGTGTGCCAAATATGATAATGACGAGCGGGAGAGGTAGCAGGAGGAGGATTTCTATCGAGGAGCATCACAGGAGTTTCATGGTATCTGAGAACCAGCGAATGTCAATGCAATCCGTCTTCCATCGCCAGAGATCTGTGAAGGTCGGCAAGGTGGACGTTGCGTGCAGTCTGTATGCATTCATATGGTCGATACTGTTGGTGGTGGTGGGTGTTCCAACTTGTGCCTATGAGTCGACTTCCCAGCTGTATGAGCAGAGCAAAAATTGCCCAGATTTCTCATCATGGATGACGTCAGCAGCAGAACCTTTTCGAGTGATGGATGAGGGAAATGCAACAGCTTCGATAACCATCAACCTACTGCCCACTCATCCATCCGATCGGCAAATTGTTTGCTATTCATTGGTTGTCTTCAACTTGACAGATGTCACCGCCCTGCATGTGCACGACAATGTGACGATGGAGAATGGAAGCATAGCCGTGAATTTCGAACGCATCAACATCACAGATGACATGGCATCCGGTTGCGTTTCTAACGTACCATTCAATGTCGCAGCGGGTATTGTCGAATCCCCGTTCCATTACTACATGAACATACACACGGAATCCAATCCTCAGGGGGCGGCAAGGGGCCAGCTCAGGCGAGAATTCTGCCCCACCTCCACAGCTGCTGGCGCCAGTGGACAATTCCGACACACTCACTCCTTGTTGTCGTTGCCGCCAAGGGTAATGATTGTGTCTCACAGGGAATGCTCATCCTTGTCGCTCCGGATTGCTTCGTCATACCTGTTGTTTGTAATAATTCACGTACTCATGAACTGGCCGTACATACCCCTGATTTGCACTCTGGATGATGCATGATCAGCGATGTTAATCATAATCATCATGATGATGATCAGCAATGTTAATCATGATCATCATCATCATCATATCACATGCTTATGCGAACCCTGCATTGTGATCTTTATCTCGTCGTCACCACCATCATCGTCATCATCAACAAGAATCAACTACAATGACAACAGCAACAATGACATATGCTTGACGGTACATCATCATCATCATCATCATCATCATCATCATCATCATCATCATCATCATCATCATCATCATCATCATCGTCATCATATGAATGCATTGATACCAAAGCATCTTGTCTTTATTGTCCTATTGAGCTGATGATGCATTGTCATCATCATCTGCATCATGATTCACCAATTTTGTAAAGTAAAAGCACCTACCATGATCAGGTAATCCCAGTGAAGATAGAAAAGGAAAACAAAAACGACATAGAAAAAGGAAAACACGGTAGCCTTCGTGGCTATGTATCCGTAGTCCTTGCCCCTGTTCATGTTAGCATGACGGTGAACAGCGGGGGGATCTTTTCTCTCCTTACCCTCCAATTCCGCTGACCCTCACCTGTCAGAATCGCCCCTTTTTCCAACTACAGGCAGCCAAATGAAGATTAGATTATGTGGAACTCTTTGAGACCAATCCACAACTTGCAATGCTCCTTTTTTCTGTTTTCATCAAGTTCACTCCCTATGTTTCCCTCATTGAAAAAGGAGAGTATTCTACCCATAGTCGCGCTCTTGACTTCCAAACCAGTCCCTTTTTCTCCTTATCCAGTCCAGCTCCTGGCCTGTCAGGGGGTTAACAGAAACGACCCACTCGTCATCCCATACTGGGGGAACACAAAAGGGGTAACTGGCCACTGGAGCATCTCTCTCTCTCTCTCTCTCTCTCTCTCTCTCTCTCTCTCTCTCTCTCTCTCTCTCTCTCTCTCTCTCTCTCTCTCTCTCTCTCTCTCT